GTGGCTGATCAGGAAATTGGTGGTTGGCTTGGACACTACAGCAAGATAATTTGTTTGAGGCCTCTGTGTGGCAAGAGAATGATGCTGGACAAGCTTTTCAGCTGATGGCGCAGTGTATAAAACAAGGGCAGCACAAGGTAACAGCTGCTGCTTTCTGCCCAGTTCTGTTGATCTCTGTAGTATGTAATTCTCTCAGATGACAGTAATGTTAAAGAGGGTGACATACTAGCCTAATTTAAGTTTTGTAAAATATGGAGAACATCACAATAAAACTGTTTATAATTACAGAAAATAACAGCTCTTTATAACTGTTCCAGATTGGATACAGACGGAACATATGAAAGCAAACTAAATTCTTATATTAAGGAAGTAACCTACTAACTTCTATTTTAAGTAATGTTTTATTCTAAATCATTGATGCTGATGATGCAACATACAAAGTATATAAAGGTACATTATAGCACAACTGTGGCTGATTTCAGTTTGTTGATTTGTTTAAATGAACTAAAATATTTGCACCGATCATTCAAAACAATTTGAATGGGCACCTACAATCTTTATCAGAAGGATCTAACTAATTAAGCCTAATCCCTTCAACAATGCCCTCATGAACCACATTCAACATATAGCGGAGTAATCTGATATATACAAAAGACACATCACCCTGGCATGCCAAGAAAGTACATTAACATGTATGATATTGTATCCTGAATGCTGATAACAGACTATACTTTCATATGTATTTATTTCAATCTGTGTGGGTTTTTTTGAAAAACAATGATTCTCCGATCTCTGCCAAATTACCTAAAGAGAATATCCACACTACATTTCTAAAAGAAACCTCGAGATTAATTTCCCTTTAACACCTGTTGATACAACCTTTCCATCTACTCCAGGGCTTTTAAGGTTTAGCTAAATTGAGCTAGCTAAAATACATGCTTTTGCTAGTGGAGACAAGTCTTTGGCACATTTCCCGTCAAAAAAGGTCAAAGAGAACAAAGAACTAGTAAGATCTTCAGTGTACGCCGAAGTTCAGCAAATTCAGCCTCTGGCAAACCAAGGTAAATAGAAAGCTCTTCTGTTGAGAATTTCTCATTGAGAATGCTCTGCCTACAGACAGCCCTTTCACAGTTAAGCCAAGAGGGTTTTTTTACGCAAGCTCTTTACATAGTTTCAACTCTTGTGGTATAATACAGTCAACGTAGTGATCTGAGAGAATAAAGCTCCAGTCCAACTGCAGCTTTAAATGGTAGTACTAGTAATGTTCTGGCACCATCTGATGTTTTTTGTTTTGCTTGCCTGGGTATAATCTCTAGGCAGCTGCGCTTTGTTTAGTCAGTGAAACTAAAGAAGAAAACAGACTACTAAGGTCATACGCAGCTTGAAAAAGAATGTTATCAAAATTACCAAGCTGGGTTTCAAGACTGAATTGTGCATTAGCTAGATTAAACTGGTAAAACCATGCATAAACACACCACCAGGTGATCCCAAGGGGTATTATAAAGCCAATGCTATAAGCGCCACTTGGTTACAAACCAGTAAGCAACGTGACATGCAAAATGGGAAGATGAATTAGAAATATGGAAGTATCTTTTCTTTTCTAAAGTCAAACACAGAAGCTCTGCCTTTGAGTGATTCTTTTTCACAAAAGGGGTAACTGGGGTGATTTTTCTATTAAAATTAGCTTAACTTCGTATAATGTTGCTATGTTTTAAGACGCTAGACCTATCTCAGCCCTACTATAAAGGGATTTTCATATTAAAAACAGAAAAAGAACAAAATGGGTTTATATCTGGTTAAAAAAAGGAAAAAGTTACCCCATGAATACTGCAAAGATTGCATGACAAACACAAACCTCAAGGTAAAAGCACTATTTCTGCTGCTATCTTGTCAGTCCCTAGGAAGGAACATGAGTGTCTCTACAGATCCTTTGAAGTTTTTATGTTGAAGTAAGTACAACTGAATGTATGTACTTATGTCAGAAAAGATCAGCGCCAAAGAACATGCCTTGCACCGAAGAACGGATTTACAATTGTCCATAGCTCCTGGGGAATTCATTCCACATTCTTGGATGAGACCACAGGAAAGCTGTGTCCCATTTAAATAAGCCTTAAAAGGTTATCTCAAGTCCTGAATGTTTTTTATACACGCCAAACCCCGGCCGTATATCTCCTTCAGGAGAAGACCCAGGCCCTTGGACTCGACTGGTGAGCCCAACAGGCGCTTTGGACAGACAAACGACAGAGGCAAAGGGACAAACACAGCAGCGAGAGAAATTAAAAGGTGCCGCGGTGCCAAGTGTTTTAGGGGACAGGATAACGCCCTCCCGCCCCCACACAACCGAAGCA